TTTTTGATAAATTAAGAAATGACAATTTATTTTTTCCTATTATACCCTCAATTTATTAACACCGAGTTCAAATTTTTGAAAAATATAATGAGTGTAATATTTTAAATTATATCAATTAATCGAAATAAAATGATAAATTCACTATATCAATAAATATTTTTTTAATAGATGCGCCAAGTCATATGTAGACCTTATATGTCTTTCTTGTACACGTGCCCCTACATTGAACCAATGGCAGATGTATGTTATGAATTATGGGTGCTTAAGCATCCATTGCTTTTTGCAATAAACACTAATATTTGTTGGTAATATCTAATAATTTATTCAAATATATTAACTAAGCACCCACTTTATATAGCAATTCTCAAACTAAAAATAATTGAGCACCCATGAAATAAAATTTCTGGATCCGCCACTGCATTGAACAGACTACATTAGAAAATAGGTAAGGGTGCCAATGGTCTACAATATTTCTATGAGTTATTTTATAAAATTTATGTTATATTATTTTATTAATTATTATTTTTGATATAGTAAAATTAAACCTTTTGAAATCATCGCAATATCCATGCGATTCAATTAGCTTTTGGTTGTTTCTTTTGTTTGTTAAAATGTCTTGTAAGAATCACAAATAAAATTTAGAACATTCTACCAAGTATATTTCTGTAGGATTTTGACAAAATATTCTAAACATAATTAAAATTTAAGAGAAAACATGAATAAAGATAAAGAATAGAAATGTATTCAAAAGTAGTATAATACTCATAATCGTTTTCATCACTCCCAACATAAGAAAATTTTCTGATATTTTATTATTTTTAAACTTAATATATGTATAAAATAAATTTTTGACACATAAATTTATTCGTATGATATGATACTTTTTTAGATTTATTTTTATAAAAACATAAATTTATCTAGTTATTCGATACAATTATATATTTATATAGAAACATACAATTTTATTATAAGAAACATAAAATCAGTTTGATACGATCAATGGCCAGATCCAAATTTTCACTTAGTGAGTTCAAAATATAAATAGGTAAACATACAAAGTAATCAAGGAGCATCAATATTTACAATATAAACATAGAAAATAATTTTGACCTTATATATGTAATGTAATTTTTAAAATTAAGAGAGTTTGAATGAACCCCTTTACAGAATTCTATTTTTGCCCCTGAATACGATATGATTCGATTGGGGTAATTATTTGTAAAAAATATTTTTCAATTTTATCATGTTTATCTGGTCAAATATTTTTGGGATAAGGGTTTGAAAAATACCCCAACTTTGGTCGGATTTACTGTTGCAATACTAAACTTTCATGAGGACCTATTATCTCCCTAGACTATTTAAGATGAGCAAACGATTCTGGATTAGATATCAAAATTAGGCACTAAAGCTACTGGATGCAAGGTAAACTATAGATATGTTGGATCCAGCTCTTCATTGCTTGGAGCTAATTAATTTTTCCAGAATTTTTCTAAAGTGATATCAATATTTTAAGAAGTAAACAAATGAATAAATTATTGATGGAATGTACGCGTCCACTAGTGATCACAGGACCAGGTCCTTTGATACAGTTAAAGTGCAGAAATTAAATAACTAGAAGTAAAATAGGCAGAAGAGATTTTACGTGGAAACCTCTTTGCTCAAGGGAGTAAAACCACGACCTGTCACATAAGATTTTCAACTGTTTTCACTAATCTCCAAGCAAAAGTGTATAAATTTCAACTACACCAATGAGACTAAACTCTTAATCTCACACTAAGTAATACGCCTATTACTTACCGAGCCTAAGCAATGCATCCATTGCCCACTATATTAACTATCGCTAATTAATATAGACTTCAAACAGTAAGACACAAAGTTAACTCTAACAATGTTCTTACACTGATTCACACAAGAGTTTGAAATGTTTCTTATAAGAGTGAAACGAATCCTACAAGTTTAGCTCAATACAAGCATTCAAAACGACAACACACATAGATAGCACTCCTTCAGTTGATCAGGTCCCTTGCTGTTTTTGAAGCTTGATTTCTCTCTCTTTGAATGAATGAATTATCAAGTTGTTTGTCTCTTTAATTATATCAATCAAGAAGAGTTGTTGACCACTGGACAAACAACCTCGTCCTTTTCTATTGGTGAAGTACACTGACAGCTCTACCAACATCCTGATAAGACAACTTTTCCAGTTATACACCATATTGCACCTGGACGAGAACACTCTGTCAGAGACCGGGTCCCTGCCTTTGTGAGGGTCATCAAAACACCTGAAATACATCAATTATTGTATTGCTATATGATATGTTTTTCATATTTATAACGACAACATTTCCAGTAGAATCCCACAAGTGGATCTGAATTTTTTTTTAAAAAAAATCATATTTATTTTAGATACATTGTATACAAGTGAATTCATGTGTATGGGATACACCGACTCTCTCACTCATTGCTCTCCTATCTCACTTACCTCCCTCCTCTCTTGTTCGCCTCTATCACTTGCCTTCCTCTCTCTCACTCGCCTTGCTCCCTATGTATTTGTATTTCAGAATGTATGTGGTATTTCAGATATTTGGAATACACTGACACTCTCGCTCGCCTCCCTCCCTCCTATCTAGTGTAATATTTGTGTGTTTAGAGTATATTTAGTAGAAAAATACATTTATTTAAATGTCTGACTTAAAATTTAATTTGAAATTATTCATAATGAGACAATATGCAAGTATTTTAAGCTAGAGAGAGAATAGTAAATATGACAAAGAATATTTACGTAATTAGATAGCTTTTCCAAAAGCTAATCTAATGTCAATCCATCATATCCATCCTTCAACTCCAGTAATTTGATTCTCTTATGGTCACTCCAATAAAAAATATATAAAATATTTCAAAGTTGACCAACCTATATTATATTCTTAGTATCCAAGTTTCAATACAATAATATTGTTCTTATATAGATTAAGTACAAAATAAAAAATTATTTAGCTATTCTCACTATTTTTTGGGATTATAATTGCAGTAAATACAAGTGACATTCCACACATTGATAATGTAGCCTCTCCCCTTAATAACACACCCCATCCCCACCATCTCATACCCCTACCTCTCATGAGCGGCTCAAGTATACGGTTGCCTAATGCAACATTTGAACGGACATCTTAAATTTTAATTTTTCTTGAGGACATATTATTTTAAATTTGTTAAAAGTCTAATAAAATTTTCCACTTATATAAAAAAGTTTATATTTTTTTTACAAATAAACTCAATATTATTTTATAATAATATCTTCAAACCTATTATTGCTTTAAAAAAGTCCCCTGGTCTAACGCTACTAGTTTCTTTTAGATTTGTTATATGTGTACCGGGTTGGTTCGGGTTTTTCAAATATCAAATCAAACCATTTGTGTCGGATTTTTAAAATCTATAAATCAAACCAAACCAATAAAACTCGGGTTTTTCAACTTTGGGGTATATTCGGGTTTTTTCGAGTTTTTTGGATTTTTGGGTTTTTTCCGGAAAAATATTCATACAAACATATAATTTACTAGTACTTCAAATATTTCTTTAGTCCTACCAAAATACAACTATCTAAGGTGTTTCTTAAGAAAATAGCACAAAATGTTATGAGTAATGATACTAAAATATCCAACAAAAAAATAATAATAATGAAATCGCGTAAAACAAATATTGCAAATTAACAAGTCATAATGAAAATGATCATAATTTAAAAGTACTAAATCATGCTAAATAAGTTTAATAAGTATTAGTTACATGACTAAATATTAAAGAAAATTAAAATTAGATTATGTATTTGAATAAACCAATGTAAAACCATAGAACAAATATTCAATATTATTGTCATTCTTAGTGTTGAATTGATTTTTTTTTGCTTTAGTATTAATTTAATTTTGATTTAAGCTTTATTATAACTACCAACATCTGTGGACTATAATCTTTATTGAACCATTTAGAATTCTAAATTTCAAACTTGAATTAATAATATATTAAAAGATAAAAACTATGAAAAAAGTTATAAGAAATATTTAAAAATTATATCAAAGTAAATATTTTTATGTAATAAAATAAAATTTTAAAATTATATATATAATGTCGGGTTGGTTTGGTCTCGGGTTGAATTTTTTTAGTTAAAACCAAACCAAATATAGTCGGGTTCTTTTTTCCAATACCAAACCAAGTCAAACCAACCACTAGTCCAATTTTTTTCTCGGTTTGCGGTTTGATTAGATTTTCGATTCGATTTTGTACACCCCTAAGATTTGTAGAGTCGTCCCTACCCCTTACTATATCTCATAGTATTTCTCTAAATGAATAAATACTTTTTGAGATAATTATTTTTACTTACATATCAAACACAAATTTTATTTTATTTTTAAAAATCCACTTATTTCCTATAAAATATTTTCAAAGGCATCCAAAATATGTCTCGAGCTGGAACAATTTTTCGAGAACTTAACAACACACTAGGGGTGTGCATTCGGTTTTTCAGTTCGGTTTTGTGTTATTCGGTTTGGGTTTTTCGGTTTGAAAAAGTATAACCCAATCCGAACCAAAAAAAATTGGTTCGGTTCGGTTTTTCTCTTTTCGGTTTGGTTTTTTTCGGTTTGGCTATTCGGTTATAACTTATTTCATAACTAATTAATAACATAATCAAAGTTATATTTGCATGCTTAAAAAATAAAAATTTCATATAAAACACACAATAAATTGTTTGTATTTCAAAGAAAAAGAAAATGACCCCAATAATTGGTACTGCAAAAATAGTTTGGCAACATGGACCATATTCATAAGTACTAATAGACACATTTTGAATTACTTATCATAATTGTTTCTCGAGAGAGTCAAATTATATAAATTTTGATTAATTTCTATTATATATTTTTTTTCATGAAATTAATATAAAAAATTATAACTTATAGTATAAAAACCACATTTCAGCACAGGATTTTCCCATCCTTGAACGAATAAAGAGATAATAGTTGAGTGACCAATTGAGAAATTGCAAAAGATGAGTACTAGTCATAAAGCTCATTGTTTGATCTTGCCATTTCAAGGCCAAGGTCATATCAACCCAATGCTCCAATTCTCCAAACGTTTACAATCCAAACGTGTTGAAATCACTATAGCACTCACAAAATCTTTTTTGAAAAACATGAAAGAATTGCCAACTTCTATGTCAATCGAGGCCATATCTGATGGCTACGATGATGGTGGTTTCCACCAAGCAGGAACTTTCGTAGCCTACATAACGCGATTCAAAGAAGTTGGCTCGGATACTCTGTCTCAGCTTATTCAAAAATTAGCAAATAGTGAATGCCCTGTAAATTGCATAGTATATGATCCATTCCTTCCTTGGGCTGTTGAAGTGGCAAAGAATTTTGGATTAATTAGTGCTGCATTTTTCACACAAAATTGTGCAGTGGATAATATTTATTACCATGTACATAAAGGGGTAATAAAACTTACACCTACTAAAAATGATGAAGAAATATTAATTCCTGGATTATCATGTACAATTGAGAGTTCAGATGTACCTACTTTTGTTATTAGTCCTGAAGCAGAAAGAATACTTGAAGTGATGGTAAATCAATTTTCAAATCTTGACAAAGTGGATTGGGTCCTAATCAACAGCTTCTATGAGTTGGAGAAACAGGTAACATATTTTTGTCGTTTTGGTGCTTCTTCTGTCTTTTTAACCATTTATATAGATGTTTAATCAAAGTTATACAAAATTGAAGTGACAAAATCATATGTTCATTAAGGTTGTTATAGTTTTCGTAGTAGCAAGAATTATTTTGGTCTCATTTTGGTTGGAATTAAGTGTACAACATATCTAACCTATGTTTTTCTTTGTCTGTTCCATTTCGCCTAATTCACTAAATCTTATGATTATGACTATATATTGAATGTCTTTCTTAAAGGGGTGTCTGACCACTATTTAGGTTAATTCTTTTTTTAATAAATGTTCTCAAACAAACTTTTAATACATGTTAGAATTTCGAAAGGAGTACTAAAAAAAAATCAAGAGATTCAAGATATATCTTATTTTGCTTGTAGGTAATTGATTATATGTCCAAGATATATCCAATCAAGACAATTGGACCAACAATACCATCAATGTACTTAGACAAGAGACTACATGATGACAAAGAGTATGGTCTTAGTATCTTCAAACCAATGACAAATGAATGCCTAAATTGGTTAAACCATCAACCAATTAACTCAGTGGTGTATGTATCATTTGGAAGTATAACCAACTTAGAAGCTGAGCAAATGGAAGAATTGGCATGGGGTTTGAAGAATAGCAACAACAACTTCTTGTGGGTTGTTAGGTCTACTGAAGAATCCAAACTTCCCAAGGACTTTTTAGAGGTGTTGACACCCAATTTTGGCCTAATATTTTCAAAATTCGTAACTTTTAAGTTTTATTTATTTAATAGTTCAAAAAAAAAGGGATAGTTAGAAGAGAAGTTATTGAAGAATGTATAAAATTAGTGATGGAAGAAGAGAAAGGAAAATTAATTAGGGAAAATACAAAGAAATGGAAAGAATTGGCTAGAAATGTTGTGGATGAAGGAGGAAGTTCAGATAAAAATATTGAAGAATTTGTTTCCAAGTTGGTTACTATATCCTAAGTAATTAAGAAGTTAATTAAGAGCCATAAAAAATAATTAAGAAGTTGGTTTGTCTTTTGTAATTTCTTTTTCTCATCAAAGTAGCAAAGTTTGACTTGAATCTTCTTTTGTGGAAAGTGACAAGTTGTTATGTTATGCTTTATTTGTTATCTTACTTTTAATGAACTTTTAAATATAATTAGCTAAAACTTTGTTAATTTAAATTTCAAATTTATAAATTAATTAAGATGAGCAAATGATTCTGGATTAGATATCAGAATTAGGCACTAAAGCTACTTAATGCAAGATAAACTATAGATATGTTGGATCCAGCTCTTCATTGCGTGGAGCTAATTAATCTTTCCTCAATTTTTCGGAAGTGATATCAATATTTTTAGAAGTAAACAAAAGAATAAATTATTGTATGGCTAGATGATATGTTTTTCATATTTATAACGACAACATTTCCAATAGAATCCTACAGATGAATCTGTATTTTTATTTTTATTTTCATATTTATTTTAGATATATTGTATATAAGTGAATTCATGTGTATGGGATACACCGACTCTCTCACTCATTGCTCTCCTATCTCACTTACCTCCCTCCTCTCTTGCTTGCCTCTATCACTTGCCTTCCTCTCTCTCACTCACCTTGCTCCCTATGTATTTGTATTTCAGAATGTATCTGGTATATATTCCAGCTACGTGTATCTAGTGTAATTTGCATGTATTTGAGATACACTGACACTCTCGCTCGTCTCTCCCCTTATTTATCTGTGTGTTTAGAGTGTATTTAGTAGAAAAATATATTTATCTAGATGTATCCGACTTAAAATTTGATATGAAATTATTCTTAGTGAGACGATATTTAAATATTTTAAGGTAGAGAGAGAAAATATTTACGTAATTAGATAGTTTTTCCAAAAGCTAATCCAATGCCAATCCATCATATCCATCCTTCAACTCCAGTAATTTGATTCTCTTATAGTCACTCCACTCCAAAAAAAAAATATATAAAATAATTCAAAATTGACCTACCTATATTATATTCTTGGTATCCAAGTTTCAATAATATAATATTGTTCTTATATAGATTAAGAACAAAATAAAAAAATATTTAGCTATTCTCACTATTTTTTGGGATTATAATTGCAGTAAATCATGATTCAACAATACCACTGATATTTTGTGAATACTATTAAAGATACAAGTAATCACAGTATTCATGGTATATTAGATAATAAACAAATAAAATATTTAGTATATTGATATAAAAATAGTACTCACTTCCTTTGTTTCAATTTATTTTTCTTATTTATTTTTTAAATACGTCTCAAAAAGAATATTTCTTTCCTTTCTTGGAAATTCTTTAATTCTAACTTTCCATATGACGTGTTTAAAACTACAAGATTAAGTGACATTTTGATACATTCTATGTATATTTAATTAATCTAAAACCACAAGATTAAAAAAGAAAATCTTAAATTTTGTGTCAAGTCAAAATAAAAAATAAATAAATTGAAATGACATAAATAGTATATCATTTGTTCAATATAAAATCGTCCCCTTTCAAATAATTCATGATCAAAATTGGCTCATTTCTCTTGTTTTGGAGCAATCATTAGTAAGAAAAGTATTTATGAATTATTAAGTTAATTAAAGGGTATTTTTAAACTAGTTGTCTAACGAAAATGAATTTTGTTTTACCTAAAACATAATAAAAATAAGCAATTGTTATATTAAAATATTATATAAAAAGTAAATACTACTACATTCGTCCCTATTTATTTGTCAAATATTTTCTAATTTGATTTTTCTTTTTTACTTGTCATTTTTGACAAATCAAGAAATGACAATTTATTTTTTCCTATTATACCCTCAATTTATTAACACCGTGTTCATATTTTTTAAAAATGTAATGAGTGTAATATTTTGAATCATATCAATTAATAAGGACAAAATGATAAACTCACTATATCAATAAATATTTTTTAATAGATGCGCCAAGTCAAATGTAGACCTTAAATATCTAGATCAATGGCTACAATTATATATTTATATAGAAACTTAAGATTTTATTATAACAAACATAAAATCAGTTTGATTCGATCAATGGCTAGATCCAGATTTTCACTTAGAGAGTTCAAAATATAAATAGGTAAATATACAAAGTAATCAAGGAGCATCAATATTTACAATATAAACATAGAAAATAATTCTGACCTTATATATGTAATGTAATTTTCAAAATTAAAAGAATTTGAATGAACCCTTTACAGAACTCTAGTTTTGCCCATGAATACGGTATGATTCGAATGGGGCAATTATTTGTAAAAAATAATTTTCAATTTTATCATGTTCATCTGGTCAAATATTTTAAAAAAGAATTCTCTAAAAAAACAAGTTCATTAAAAATGAATAGAATAAGCTTCCTAATGAAAGTAGGAAAAACAAATTCTTCTACAAGTGACGTTCCACATTGATAATGTCATCCCCTCCCCGCACCTCATCTCGCTCGCCACTCTCCCAGATCTCGCTCGCCACTCTCCCAGATCTCGCTCGCCACTCTCCCAGATCTCGCTCGCCACTCTCCCAGATCTCGCTCGCCACTCTCCCAGATCTCGCTCGCCACTCTCCCAGATCTCGCTCGCCACTCTCCCAGATCTCGCTCGCCACTCTCCCAGATCTCGCTCGCCACTCTCCCAGATCTCGCTCGCCACTCTCCCAGATCTCGCTCGCCACTCTCCCAGATCTCGCTCGCCACTCTCCCAGATCTCGCTCGCCACTCTCCCAGATCTCGCTCGCCACTCTCCCAGATCTCGCTCGCCACTCTCCCAGATCTCACTCGCTCACTCGCCTCTCTCACTTTATACAAACACAAATGTATACATTGTGTTTGTGTTTGTATAAAACAAGAGAAAATTGTATATACAAATACAAATGCATATATTTTCGTCCTATACACTTATGATTATACAAATACGATCTTCCCCTGCCCAGTTTTCTTTTGTCTTTCTCTCTTTCTCGCCTTATACAAACACAAATTATACAATTGATCTTTTGTATATGTATACCAAAGCAGATTATACAACTGCTTTCTTTTGCATATGTATAGCGAAATTATACAACTGTTTTCTTTTGTATATGTATAGCGAAATATATATATTTATATTTGCTATAGAGCGCAATTATGCAAACTATAGTTATAGCATACAAATATGATTTTTGTGTTTGCTATATGTGAAAGTATCACCTGATCTAAGATTTGTAGATTTGTAGAGTCACCCCCACCCCTTACTATATCTCATAGTATCTCTAAATGAAATACAAATACTTTTAAGATAATTATTTAAAAAAAATCATCTTATTTACTATAAAATATTTTCCAAGGCATCCAAAATATGTCTCGAGCTGGAACAATTTTTCGAGAATTTAACACCACACAATAAATTGTTTGTATTTCAAAAATAATTTGGCAATATGGACCATATTCATAAGTACTAATAGACACATTTTGAATTACTTATCATAATTGTTTCTCGAGAGAGTCAAATTACATATATTTTGATATATTTCTATTATATATTTTTTTCAAGAAATAATATAAAAAATTATAACTTATAGTATAAAAACCACATTTCGCCACAGGATTTTCCCATCCTTCAACGAATAAAATAACTTTCTAAGATAATACTTGAGTGACCAATTGAGAAATTGCAAAAGATGAGTACTAGTCACAAAGCTCATTGCTTGATTTTACCCTATCCATTTCAAGGTCATATTAACCCAATGCTTCAATTCTCCAAACGTTTACAATCCAAACATGTTGAAATCACTATAGCACCTACAAAATCCTTCTTGAAAAAAATGAAAGAACTGCCAACTTCTGTGTCAATCGAGGCCATATCTGATGGCTACGATGATGGTGGCATCGACCAAGCAAAAACATATGAAGCCTACCTAACGCGATTCAAAGAAGTTGGCTCAGATACTCTGTCTCAGCTTATACAAAAATTGGAAAATAGTGGATGTCCTGTAAATTGCATAGTATATGATCCATTTCTCCCTTGGGTTGTTGAAGTGGCAAAAAAATTTGGATTAATTAGTGCTGCATTTTTCACACAAAATTGTACTGTGGATAATATTTATTACCATGTACATAAAGGGGTAATAAAACTTCCACCTACTCAAAATGATGAAAAAATATTAATTCCTGGATTTTCATGTCCAATTGAGGCATCAGATGTACCTACTTTTGTTATTTATCCTGAAGGAGAAAGAATACTTCAAGTGTTGGTCAATCAATTCTCAAATCTTGATAAAGTTGATTGGATTCTAATCAACAGCTTCTATGAGTTGGAGAAAGAGGTAACAATTTTTTTTCCGTTTTGGTGCTTCTTCGGTTTTTTCAACCATTAATATAAAAAATGAACTGACAAAATCATATGTTCATTAAGGATGTTATAGTATTCGTGGTAGCAAGAATTTATGATTATGACTATATATTGAATGTTTTTCTTAAAAGGGTGTCTGACGACTATTTAGGTTAATTCTTTTTTTAATAAATGTTCTCAAAGAAACTTTGAATACATGTTAGAAAGGAGTATTAAAAAAAATTCAAGAGATTTCAAGATATATCTTATTTTGTTTATCATGTAGGTAATTGATTGGATGTCCAAGATATATCCAATAAAGACAATTGGACCAACAATACCATCAATGTACTTAGACAAGAGACTACATGATGACAAAGAGTATGGTCTTAGTATCTTCAAACCAATGACAAATGAATGCCTAAATTGGTTAAATCATCAACCAATTAGCTCAGTGGTGTATGTATCATTTGGAAGTTTAGCCAAATTAGAAGCTGAGCAAATGGAAGAATTAGCATGGGGTTTGAAGAATAGCAACAACAACTTCTTGTGGGTTGTTAGGTCCACTGAAGAATCCAAACTTCCCAAGAACTTTTTAGAGGAATTAACAATTGAAAAAGGACTAGTGGTGTCATGGTGTCCACAATTACAAGTGTTGGAACATGAATCGATAGGATGTTTTCTGACGCACTGTGGGTGGAATTCAACTTTGGAATCGATTAGTATGGGAGTGCCAATGGTGGCAATACCACAATGGACAGATCAACCAACAAATGCAAAACTTGTGAAGGATGTTTGGGAAATAGGTGTTAGAGCCAAACAAGATGAAAAGGGTATAGTTAGAAGAGAAATTATTGAAGAATACATAAAATTAGTAATGGAAGAAGAGAAAGGAAAATTAATTAGGGAAAATGCAAAGAAATGGAAGGAAATGGCTAGAAATGTTGTGGATGAAGGAGGAAGTTCAGATAAAAATATTGAAGAATTTGTTTCCAAGTTGGTGACTATTTCTTAAGTATGGAATTAAATAAGAGTCATAAAAAATAATTAATAAGTTGATTTGCATTTTGCAATTTCTTTTTTTTTTAATTAAAGTCGCAAAGTTTGACTTATATTCCATGAATATTATTTTAATTATACAAAATTGCTTCACTAATTCAAATATTACATTAACTTACTAACTTATTCGAGGTTATAATACATTATACATGCTCAACAATCTAACCCGATCGTTATGAATAGGTCCATAGGGAAAGAAATTGGGCCAGAAATTTTTTTGGATAGTAATTTGAAATTCTTGGCTAGACCAGTCTTAGATGAAATCTGGGCTAGGTGAGGTCTAGGGCTATCCGGGAAGGATGGGGTATTTTGTTGAGATTCGACTCATGTATACTTGTAGTCAAGACATAAAAGAGTCCATAATATAAGGCCTTTACGATTGACTCGGATACCACGCTTGATATGACACTGAAGTTTGATTTGGGTTCCGTAAGAGAATCAGGTATGCGATATGGTTCCATGAGAGGATCAGGCTTTGGCATTATATATTATCACGATCTGAGTCTACATCACAGCCGAGACATGGCACATGAAACCACAAGTGATCCCAAGCTAACCCTTGACATATCATATCTAAGCATAGCATATGAAAACTGAAGCAGAAGCTATAAATTGAAAGCATAATTGAAATAAAGTTCAAGAATAAGTCTATTACAATTGAATACTAATGTCTAAAAGCCTCTAAACTGAATAAAGCGATTTGTCGAGACAAGACCCCAGACTGCTTGAAAAACTAACACAACTAAAGTGAATAAAATATAGTCACCCATAACGGAAGTCCTCTGAATGCAATGAAGACTCACTACAATGCTAAAAGTAGAGGAACTTAGTGGAACGTCTTCTCGCAAATCTAAATCAAGATGCTAAAATCTACATCATAAAACAATGTATCGCAAAGTAGAGTCAATATATGGAATATATTGATATGCAGGGTAAGGACTGAGATGAACAATTATATGAGAAACTGAAAGAACTATAAATCTGAGCATGAGTTATACACAAACAATAGCTAAAGAATTGGGAGTCAAAAACACCAAATTTTATGTGGAAAAATCCTTCAAATCGAAGATAATAATCAAGGAATTGTCGAGATCCAAATTGTTTCACTAGTCAATAGGAGGGTTAAAAATATTCTCCTAAATGGCTACACAACAATTGCCAAACACAAAAGCAATAGATACACCAACAAAAGTAAATAGAAAGAATACACCCAAACTCGTTTGTTGTTCGGGACTTGAAATTGGACTATGCTGACCACTGAATCTGATAGACACCATTCCAAACCAAAGACCAAGATGTTAGGAACACTCAATAAAAGTTTTAGTCTGATCAAACGATTAACAAATTAGGAAATATGATTTAAAGGTTGCTAGTCGGAGAAAAAGACTACAGAAAAAAAATCATTTTCTTCTCTCTTCTTTCTTGTTGAAAATTCTCTCAAAAATCTCTCTTTTGTGCAAATAGTAATGAACAATTGAATAATTCTCTCAAATGATAATTTCTAGATAACGAATTGGTGTTTTTCTTCTAAAATCAAAACCAACTTCAAATAGGACCAAAATTTCAATCATTTTTCAAACAAGATTAAAATTCCATCTTTTCCAAATAGGATTGAAAAAAAAGAAAAAAAAATAGAATTAGGTCATGGGTCTGTGGCTGGAACATGAGCCATAACCCAACAGTATTGTCTGATGAACGATGACTTTTTCATTTAGAGTAAAGTCATTGCCAACCTCTGTCCTACCTATATCTGTAAAAAGGAATCAATCACTAAGTTCTGAGCAATAAAAGTTGGTATCGACAATATATTGTTACTACTTTTATAGAAGAGTTTACAAGTATGCATGTCTTCGTCAACATGCCTACTTGTATGGCGAAGAGTATTTTTGATATTTTTTAGTTCTTGTTCTTTAAAACTTGAGTTAAAAATCTACTTAAATTATCTTTTGTTTAATTAGTCTCATATCTAAATTGTGTTTGTCAAACTAATAAGTAAATTTTTAACTGTATTTCTCACACTCACAACAATTTAGCTATGAAACTCGAAAAACAAATAGTTTAAATGTGTTTTTGGAAGTATCTTGCTGCTTATTTTATGTACTTTTTCTCTGTTGTACTTGGACACAAAAAAAAACAATATTTGCATAGTGACCTGTATTTCCCCATTAAAGATATAGACTTTTAGTTGAGACATTGACCTACTTTTCCATTTAATATTGGGAAAAGGATCTCTCAACTTTCATTTATTAGTTGATTTTACTTTTATCGTTAAAATAAAGTTATTTCATGACATTTCATTAGGAAAGGAGTATATTTTGAGGAAAATAGAAATAATTGGGTGATATTTAGATCCTAAAAAAACAAAAGTGATATTATAGGACAAATTCTCAAACAAGAGTGACTATCTAAAGAAATTACCCTCAAATTTCTCTGCATGACATAAATTGAGACAAAAAAAATAACATATATTGAGTTCATGCTGCCACGAGCTCCTATAACTAGTATTGGTAAGATTTATATGTCACTAGTACATTGTACCCAATAATTGCCTTATGTCATTGCACATGTTGGCAATAAAAAGTTGGAATATACAATAGGAAGAAGCCAACACACTTTGTAAGGCATATTGATCCAAATTGTACACTTCAACTCTATCGACTAACTATAAGAACCACAAGATTTTCCCATCCATAAATTGTCATTCCTTCAATTGAGAAGTTGCATAAGATTTTAAGAAGAACGAAAACGATTTCTACATCGTACTTACTAGGGTTGATTTCTCAGATAATTATTTAGCTTAAGTTGATCATAAAGCATCTTTCTTCTTGATTGATTTTTCCTTCAGCCATTAATTGAGAAGTAGCAAGAGATGACTACTCACCAGGCTCACTGTTTGATTTTGTCATATCCAGTCCAAGGTCATATCAACCCAATGCTCCAATTCTCCAAACGTTTACAATCCAAACGTGTTAAAATCACTATAGCACTCACAAAATCCTTTTTGAAAAACATGAAAGAATTGCCAACTTCTATGTCAATCGAGGCCATATCTGATGGCTATGATGATGGTGGTCGCGATCAAGCAGGATCTTTCGTTGCCTATGTTACACGATTCAAAGAAGTTGGCTCGGATACTCTTTCTCAACTTATTCAAAAATTGGCAAATAGTGGATGCCCTGTAAATTGCATAGTATATGATCCATTCCTCCCTTGGGCTGTTGAAGTTGCAAAGAATTTTGGATTAATTAGTGCTGCATTTTTCACACAAAATTGTGCTGTGGATAACATTTATTACCATGTACATAAAGGGGTAATAAAACTTCCACCTACTCAAAATAATGAAGAAATATTAATTCCTGGATTTTCAAGTCCAATTGAGGCATCAGATGCACCTACTTTTGTTATTGATCCTGAAGCAGAAAGAATACTTGAAATGTTGGTCAATCAATTCTCAAATCTTGACAAAGTGGATTGGGTCCTAATCAATAGTTTCTATGAGTTGGAAAAAGAGGTAACATATTCTTTGGAGTATTTTTTTTTCTTTTATGTATATATAGTAGATATTGAATCTCCTCTACTTTTTCGTATGTTTACTTCTTCATATTTTGAATCTTCCTAGTGAAAATCCTGACTCAACCACTGACAATAGAGAAAACATTGAAGGAATTAAATCACATAATACCTCAGACATCATTTTCTAGTCACCTAAGTTATTGTACAAAATATTCATATAGTTACATGAAATCTTATTCTGTTTTTATTGTTTGACATGTAGGTAATTGATTGGATGTCCAAGATGTATCCAATCAAGACAATTGGACCAACAATACCATCAATGTACTTAGACAAGAGACTACATGATGACAAAGAGTATGGCCTTAGTATCTTCAAGCCAATGACAAATGAATGCCTAAATTGGTTAAATCATCAACCAATTAGCTCAGTGGTGTATGTATCATTTGGAAGTTTAGCCAAATTAGAAGCTGAGCAAATGGAAGAATTGGCATGTGGTTTGAGGAATAGCAATAAAAACTTCTTGTGGGTTGTTAGGTCCATTGAAGAACCCAAACTTCCCAAGAACTTTATAGAGGAGTTAAAATTAACAAGTGGCAATAATAAAGGACTAGTGGTGTCATGGTGTCCACAATTACAAGTGTTGGAACATGAATC